TTGGTGGGATACGGCCGGTTTGTTGAAAGAAAGAAAGAAAAAAGATAAATATATATATATATATATATATATATATATATATTATATATATATATATATATATATATATATATATATATATATAGAGAGAGAGAGAGAGAGAGAGAGAGGTTTTAGAGGTTGTACCTCCTATATACACAACATACACACACACATACACAACACACACACACACACACACACACCACACATATATATATATATATATATATATATATTATATATATATATATATATATATATATATATATATATTATATATATATATATATATATTGTGTGTCTTGTGCCAAATAGGTAAAACTGGTCAATTAGCAAAAACTAATTTACAGTTAAGTCCTTTCTAAAATTTTCTTTTATACGTTAAAAGATATATTTTTTCACTTATGTTAATGTAAAATTTAATAATTTTGTACCATAAGAAGCTTAGAAAACTTACCTAACCTTATTATAAAAAATAATAATTAATTTGCCCTTATTCAAAAAAAATTATTTTAGATAAGTTTGTAATAATTTTATAATAAACAAACACAATGAAATCTATTTTTTCGTTAGATTCAGAATGATTTTTGCGAAATTATATTGAGAAATATACTCATCTGTATATATATGCTATGTCTAATAAATCATTAGATATGCTTGAAATTTAACAGACCTTTAATATCATAATTTTGCTTGGTATACATTCTGAAGATGTATATGTACTGGAGATGCAATGTATATATACATCTAAGGTTATATATTTCGAAATGTACACAGTTAGAGTTAACTTTGATACCTATATTGGGTATTAAAGTAACTTGACTGGTGGTGTGCAGGTGACAAGCAGCCTTAATGACCCTCTTGTAGTAGATAGGCTTTAAATTTCGTAAACCAATCAGACAAGTTACATGTATCACTTAACTTTCAAGCTGTGAATAACCCTGAAGCACCGTATGCGACAGTAATTTTGCGATAATGTACATTCTAATTGGTGGTAATGAAGACGTGGATAGCTCCCACATAAAGCTTATAAATGAAGCACTCTCCTAATTACCCGCTGTCACAGCTGATGAAGGTAATTAATTTTTCTCACCAAATGACTTGCGGTACTGTCAGTCATTCTCGGGAAAGTGACAGGATGAACATTCCTTATGACAGGTGTGTGTCTCTGAGAGAGCCATCCTGGAATTCTGATAAAAACTTGACGCTCGGGAATGTGTCCATTATGTGTTAATTAATGGCAAATGTGTCTATCCGGTTTGTGTTTTCCCTGTGTTAGGGATGGATGCCCTCCAGGGACATGTTCGAGTGTATTGGGGATAGTTATGATTCTCAACATTATCTGGGATAGAGATATTTCTTTTTTCTGTGTTTAACTGTGATGAGGATTGATGTCTCTCCTTGGTATTTTTATCAGTGATTAACACAGGTGATCAACAAAGCATATATGCTTTGATCAACAAGGCATATATGCTTACATATTATTAATACAGACAAAAAAACCAGTCAAGTGTATGCCTTAAGTCACTCAACATTGTATACATCCCGAGGTGTATATCTCGTAGTGAATATACACTGAGAGTTTACCTTAAACACTATTTTACCTATTAAGGTAATCTTCTTAGGTATTGAACAGGTGACATGTAGTATTAATTACCCTCATGTAGTGGATAGACTTTCATCCCCATTAACCAACCTACCATCCTGCAACCCTAGATCTTGTGGCTTTGAACCGGCTGTTATTGACTGGCTAGTGGTCTACTTAATCTATTGCTCAATCTATCGTAGTAAGACTAAATATCCAGGAAGATCTCAAGATCAAAATGGACAAATAAAAACAAAACAAAACCAAATTCTGAAAATAGACAAAGATCACTAACGACGATTGTCGCAAATTCTAAGGCTATTTAAGACACAGAGTTTTTCAGTACTAGTAGTAATAATAATAATAATAATTATATTAGCAGTAAGAGTGGAAGTAGTAGTGGTGATTATAGTTATAAGACTAGCAGTAAATTCTACATTCATCACACACCCCTTTGACGTGCCTTCTCCACCAGCGAAGTGCAAATTCAGAGAACAGCAGTTCTGAGGCCCCACTGCTGAGTTAATTGTCCAGTTCAACCCACCAATCAGATGAGATTCTGCTTTACATCCAAGGTAATGTCCCTCCTGCCTGCCTGGCTCTGAGGCAGACTCTCTCTTACGCTGGTCCAGTCCACTCCTGCTTCGAGTGACTCTTTGCCCTGTCTTATCGTAATACTGCCGGCTTGTCTTTGTAAATATTGTACACAGTGGTGAAGGAATATAGGGGAAAGAAAAAAACTCCCGTTTCTGTGTCTACCTTGCCCCTGTCTTGCCTGGTTACTCGCTATATTGCCGACTGTGCTTACGGCAGGTGCTACAGGCCTTGAATTGCTACACTTGTTCATAGCACAGTAGTAATAGTAGTTGAAGTAGTAGCAGCAATAGCATTAGTTGTAGTAGCAATCGTAGTTGCCATATCAGCAGTAGTAATAGTTGCAGCAGCAGTAGTAGTACAGTAGCAGCAGTAGTAATAGTAACAGTAATAGTAACATTAGTAGTAGTCTTTAATGTCATCGTTCCACAATTTCATCCTTTGAAAAGAATTTTAAACAGGAATCTAATTATCTTCAAAGC